GCTGCCGACTGGGGCCGACGATGACATGCTTCCATTATACAGTGGCAAAATATGGATGAAAGGCAACAATGGCGAGCAGCTATGCATTCCGTACGGAGGTAACCACTATATTTTATTGTATACACCTTCTAGAATCTAGGCAACTGATAATTTGTGGCAGGGGCTGCTTATGATACCGAGAAAGCATTTGACACGATGTTCGATGGTGCACCTATTATAGACGGTTGGCACGGCGGTGCTACGTTTGTGAACAATGATCGCCTTTACTGTCTGCATACACTAATGTCATCACTACAGGTGGTCTTTTGACCCTGCAAAAACGCCTAGCGACTTTGCAGATGTATCCAGTCGACTCAGCTACCCCTGTTTCCATCTCCGCTGGGATGTAAGTTAAATTTGAAACCTTATGCGTCTTATAGGTTGGCTGTACTAATCTTGGACCAGATTTTCGAAGCTGGTTGGACTGAATCACAATGGCGATACCCTCTCGAAATCGGAAAAAAACAATATATCGGGTCTGCTACTTCCGTGCGTGATTCAGACAAGTTCTTATGGTTCGATGCGTCAGATGTCGACATAAATGACACTGTTTCATTCCCCCTGACTCGAATACCTCGAGGATATCAGCGATATTGGTGGTTCGGAAAATTGTCAAACGGAACACAGATATCTCCAGGCAACTACACGTAAAAAAACAAGAATACTTCGTTCAGTCGTGTAAAGAAGATTTAGCTAACGATTTTTATTAGCATGCGCATTGCTGCCTTGCGGCCATACGGGAACCCAAAAATATCGGATCACTGGGATGTTGTAGACTTGGATAGACACACAATCCAAGTACTGCCACGAAATGCGACCAATTCTACTATTACTAAATTGATGAACAGAAACTGGTGCAGAGGAATGAACCGCAGAGAGATGACTTTCACAATGTTATAACAGATGTTATCCATCTGTCAAATGTACTCATGGAAAAGCATAACTTCCAGTTGTTATAAGCTATAAGCTACTTTCTCTACTAGATGGCATGCCAGATAGCGAGCTTTTTCCTCCGTCATAAGGATAATACCAATTTTTTAAGGTTGCAAACAATCTTTGCATGCTCGGGGAATCGAATGCGTTTTTTGGGGTGTTACTTTCGCCGATGATTTCGGTCGACATCATTTTAACAATAAGCCAGAAAAAGAAAACTATGCGTAGTCTACGCCCACTTGCCCAGGAAGCTCATCAGCACCATACCAGCCACGAGACCAAATAACCCAAGGCCGACGGTAAGCATATCTGCATCAGCCAACTCGGCTTTGTGACCATGAGAGCCAGTCATCCAGTCAGCTGCCCACATTTCCACAACGCCAGTCCAAACCAAGATGCCGGCCGAAAGGGCGTCCAGGGTGCCGATTGCGAGGAGGGTTGATCTGTCGTTGCCATTGAACTTTTGCAGGACACCAATGCCGATGGCCATGCCAATGGGCGTAACGAATGCGAAGAGGGAAGCAAGACCGAGTTTCTTCTTCATGGACAGTGTAGGGGGCTCAAAAGTCGAGGAGGCGTCTGCTGTCTCCTCAGTCGGAGAATTAACTGACTTGTCCGTATCATTTTCGACGGCTCTGTCAGAGTGGTTGACGGCGGGAGGCAGGAGGTGGACATCGGCGGAACTTCCAATCGTGGCAATTCGGGTTCCGAGCGCCAGGCCTTCGAAGACTTGGTGGAAAAGAATGACAATGAACAAGGTAATGAAGAAGGAATCTCCAGCGACGACAAGAGTCAACCCGATAACTGATCAAGAGGTTAACAAGCCATAATACAAATATTTGTGCACGATGCCGGTAATGGGAATAGGGGGGCAAAGGTTTCTCACGCAAAGAATGGAACAGGATTCCCGCCTCCATGACCAAGATGCTCACCACCTCGGTGGACAACAAGGCCTCCGCTTGTTTCTCTCTAGTCAACAAGGCAGTGGACCTGGTCTTGGCAAGGACGATCCGATGACCAATGTATTCGACCAGGAAGGAGAGGAAGATGCCGGCCATGAGGATGGCGGCTGTGGTTCCTTCGTAGCCCAGTTCGCCGATGCACTTGTTGCCGAACATGAGGGAGGCATGGGTGAAGAGCTGAGCAAAAAAGATGTTAGGTTTTGCTCTCGGTGTTGGACGAAGAGTTGGCTGGGGGGGGACTTACATGAACAAAGGCGGTTGAGATGATGATGCCGGTACCGAATTGTTTGAGGAGCGTGAAGATTGTGGACAGTCTCCTGGGTAGGACTCTGTGTAGGAAGATGGGACCAAATACACCTGTCTTTTCGTTAGTGCATGTCGTGTATGTTTTGTCACCTGGCTGGAGTTTTGGAGCGTACCCAAGGCACTCGAGGCCATGATGACGAAGAGCAGGCCGACTCGCAGGCCAATGTTGTAATCCCTGGGAGTGGTATCGCATTTTGGCGCGGCGTTCTCACTTTCGTCGCCGCCTACGCAGTGTCTAATGAACAGTTAGCCGAGTTGAAGACGGGGTGGAAGTCTGAAAAGGGGCCGAGATTTGACGTACTCTACGCCGGCGTGGAAATGACAGTGCTGGTGGCCGCTGTCTTTGGAATCGGAGCCATGTTGGTCTCCTCCTTGATGGGCGTCGCCTTCGGCACCGGGGACGTTGACTTGGACATCGTCTCCGTTGGGGGCGATGCAGAACCTGTCAATGCTGTCAGCATACACAGAGAAATACAGCTGCTAAGAGGATAGAATCAAAAATACGTTTCAGCGCCATGGCTGTGGCATCCCGTAAATTGGGCGGGAATGTCTGTGGTCTGGGTGGGCGTGGTGTGAACGAGATATTCGGTTGCTCCCGCCAGACAGAACCTACAACATGATACTTGTGAGTTGGATGCGCTCCCATGACGGATCAGATTCCTCCAGGGCGTACATACACTTGGGATCCGTGAAGATGGCAGTCGGTAACAGCGGTAATCTGTGGTGCGGCCGCACTTGTAGGAGACGGCGCAGCGGTCTGTCGTGGATAGATGTTGTTTGCGGTTGCGGCGCCCAAGAGGGCCAGTCCGGCCAGTGAGGAGGATACGTGCATGATTGAAAATATTTTCTAATTGTCGGGGTGATTGGATTGTGCAAAGAGGAAAGAGCGCGGCGATTTGTCGTCGAAATCCGTAACTGTTTTTTTGCAGAGAGGCAGGCTGCTTCTTTAAGTAGTCGAAGGCATGTACGATTGGTTGGTTGGTGTTGCTGCAACTCGACAAGATTTAAGCTTGCAACTTAAGCTTCATTAGCCACGCCAAATGTTGGCAGATTTCGGAGCCGGTGTATGTATGGGTGATGCAAGGGCCGGATAGCCAGAAGCCGTGGACGACTTGGGGCATTTAAGCTTGGGCTATACAGTTATAATAAAGTATCGGTGAACCGCGAGGCCAATCCACAAAAGTCACTTGGTGGCCGAACTTGAAGGGGAAAAGGATTGATTCAGCGACAGTAATACCCACCCCACGCATGCCCTTGTGCCTCCATCTCGATGCACAGCCCTTGTTGTCGAGCAGCACTAGGGGAAAAAAATTCGGCCTTGGCTCTGACGCTTTGGGCGGCTGGCATCAGCTTGTCGACGATGGTGAACCTTGATGGATACAATGATTGGCGGAGGGGCGGCAGCACCTTGATGGTATGGACGATCCTTGTTGCCAAGACCAGCTACCTCGCGGTTTACATGCGCTGTTATTGCATTCTGACCTCGACATTGGTCATAGTAATCAAGGTTGCCTTGACGTTCGTTGGTGATGAAAGCCCTCGGGTTTGATGCCGGCGCGGAGGCGTCCAGAAGGGGCAACGCCATTTTCATTATGACAGAAGGCCGATCTGCCAAGACTATATTAACCATAAAGTTGTCCGCCCAGGTGTCCCATGTGTCGTGCCAGGAGCGTGACCTTGCGATAGGATGGGTCTTGACTCTTCTCTTGGGTATGAAGTGTAGTATGTATGTACAACGTATGTATGCACATAAGTAGTACTCCGTAGCCGAGCGGCAACTGACGGGAATAACCCCCTTGCTGTGTGGCCTGGACTTGTCCGAATAGTGGCCAATTCTATAGACGATTCGGCCATCCAGAGTCCTTGGCGCGTTTGCAGTCTGCAATATAGTCACGGAGCCTTGTTCATCATGTGTGTAAGCACACCGCTGTGCACCCGAGCTGAGATGAACCGTCCACTAGCACACAGGTTGCAGGTATTTGGCAACAAAAGTGCTTTCCATAGCGTGACATTGTGTGCACAAGGTTTACCCATCATCATCCCGAGGCGTAAAACATTGCATGGGGTGTCATCTCATGCAGGAATTGACGGGATGGACAAGGGCAGGCCGTCATTAGCCACGGCCATGGTCCGGCCGGTCTATCAGACCATGGCTACGCTTGGAATCGGTTAGTTAGCCTCCTCGTAAATTCAGTATAGGTGTCGCTTCAAGTGCTGGACGTTCACCTGCTGCTCTCTCGCTGATACTGCATCGGTGTTCGTCGCTCGGGAGGCCAAAGTACCAGTTGACCTCTTCTGTGGAGTGTGGAGTGGCGGTTCTGGGTGCGGTGTGCATCAAAGACATCGATAAGTGCAATACTGAGTACAATATTCTGGAGGAGGCATAGGGTTCGCGAGGCCTCCGTATTTATAAGTTTTTTGCAGACAAAGCAATTCTGCGGAGAGTCCTTGGTGCTGGTAGTTACATGTAGATAGATGCTTTCCGTCCCTGAGTTGGCCTGCTGGCCACACGACATGATGGTGGTCAGCCACCGTCAGCCACGGTTAGCCACCGGTTGCAAGAGCTCCCAACCCCAACCAGCAACTTCAATGTTGGGAAATTAGTGGGTCGCGCTGCCACAGACACTTTAATTGAAATCCCCCAAAAACGCGTCTCCCAAGCTCAGTGGGATTGGCGACGCGACTTGACTTTCACAACTCCGTCATTGCCCGTCCTTTGGTTCAAGGTGTGTGACGCCCAACGAGGAAGAATTCTGCACTATGGCTTCAAGACCCGAATTAAAGGTGAGCACCTGCAAAAAAAAAACGACGCCTTCTGTGTTGACTTTCTATGTATTTATTCGCTGACTCGCGACTCGACTCGACTCGACTTAGCTCGACGACGAGGGCGGCTTCATTCGTTTCTACAAGTCACTTCCCGATGTAGGGGAGGACACTATCAGAATATTTGACCGGGGCGACTGGTATACTGCGCATGGTGACAATGCCTCGTTCATCGCGAAGACGGTAATTATCTGCGTTCGACTCTCCTCAGCCACTGGTGTGCTAATGTCAGCCAGGTTTACAAAACGACATCCGTTCTCCGCCAACTCGGGCGAAACGACCACACCGGGCTCCCATCCGTAACAATGACCGTTACCGTGTTTCGTCAGTTTCTCAGAGAAGCTTTGTTCAAGCTGGGCAAGCGCATTGAAATCTGGGAGAGCCCGAGTGGCCGGATGAACTGGAAATGCGTCAAACAAGCTTCCCCCGGCAATCTGCAAGACATCGAGGATGACCTGGGCGGTCAAATCGAATCGGCGCCCATGATCATAGCAGTCAAGATTTCAGCGAAAGCTTCCGAGGCAAGGAATGTCGGCGTGTGTTTTGCAGATGCCAGTGTGAGAGAACTTGGCGTCAGCGAGTTCCTAGACAACGATCTCTACTCCAACTTTGAGTCCTTACTCATTCAACTGGGTGTTCGGGAATGTCTCATCCAGCTCGATAAAGGCGACAAGGATAAGGACCCCGAATTAGCTAAACTCAGACAAATCATTGACAACTGCGGAGTCGCTATTGCAGAACGTCCTGCGGGGGATTTTGGTACACGAGATATCGAGCAGGACCTCGCTCGTTTGCTAAAGGACGATAAGTCGGTGAATCTCCTCCCCCAGACTGATCTGAAGCTTGCAATGGGGTCCGCTGCCTCATTAATCAAATATCTCGGAGTTCTGCAAGACCCTTCAAACTTTGGGCAGTATCACCTCTATCAGCACGACCTTGCACAGTTTATGAAGCTGGATGCAGCGGCTTTGAAAGCCCTTAATTTGATGCCTGGTCCACGGGACGGGTCAAAGACTATGAGCATTTACGGCGTCCTCAATCATTGCAAGACGCCAGTGGGCAGCCGCTTGCTCGCTCAATGGTTGAAGCAGCCCCTGATGGACAAGGACGAGATTGAGAAGCGCCAACAGCTAGTGGAGGCATTCTTCACCGACACTGAGCTGAGACAAACGATGCAGGAAGAACATCTTCGCTCCGTGCCGGACCTCTATCGCCTATCAAAGAGGTTTCAGCGAGGCAAGGCAAACTTGGAAGATGTCGTTCGTGCGTACCAGGTTGTGATTCGACTTCCTGGATTCATTGGCACTTTTGAAGGGGTCATGGATGAGGCTTATCGAGATCCTCTTGATATAGCCTACACGACCAAGTTGCGCGAGCTTTCTGATAATCTCGGCAAATTGCAAGACATGGTGGAACAGACAGTTGATCTGGATGCCCTCGACAGGCATGAATACATTATCAAATCCGAGTACGATCAGGGCCTGCAAACTATTCGCAAGAAGCTCAATCAGCTCGACCGCGACATCCGAGCAGAATTTCACGAGGCTGCGCGGGACCTAGGTCAGGAAGCAGACAAGAAGATATTCCTAGAGACTAGCCACAAGGTACATGGAGTTTGCATGCGATTGACCAGGCAAGAAGCCGGCTGTATTCGAAACAAGTCAAGTTATCAAGAATGCTCTACACAAAAGAACGGCGTCTACTTCACCACAAAAAAGATGCAGTCTTACCGACGGGAGTACGATCAGCTATCGCAGAATTACAACAGAACCCAGAGCAGTCTGGTCAACGAGGTTGTCAATGTTGCATCGTCATACTGCCCCGTTCTCGAGCGCCTTGCCGGAGTCCTGGCTCACCTTGATGTGATTGTTTCGCTCGCCCATTGCTCCGTCCATGCCCCAGAGGCATATGTCCGGCCCAAGATTCACACCCGAGGTGAAGGCCAAACCCGGTTAATCGGTGCCCGCCATCCCTGCATGGAGCTGCAGGATGATGTACAATTCATCACCAACGACCTCGAGTTTACCAGAGACAAGTCGTCCTTCTTGATCATCACTGGCCCCAACATGGGCGGCAAATCTACCTACATCCGCCAGGCTGGTGTCATTGCGCTCATGGCCCAGATTGGCTGCTTTGTACCTTGCGCCGAGGCAGAGCTCACCATCTTTGATTCCATTCTCGCTCGCGTTGGCGCCAGTGACTCACAGCTAAAGGGTGTCTCTACATTCATGGCCGAGATGCTAGAAACGGCAAATATTCTAAAATCCGCCACAAAGGAGTCCTTGATCATTATTGATGAGCTTGGACGAGGCACATCGACATACGACGGCTTTGGGCTGGCGTGGGCCATTTCAGAACACATTGTCAAGGAAATCGGCTGCTTTGCCATGTTTGCAACTCACTTCCATGAACTGACGGCCCTGGCAGATCAATATCCCCAGGTGCGCAACCTCCACGTCACGGCACACATTAGCGGCACAGGCAAGGACAATAGCAAGCGCGAAGTCACGCTGTTGTACAAGGTAGAGCCCGGTATCTGCGACCAGAGTTTCGGTATTCACGTCGCGGAGTTGGTTCGCTTTCCGGACAAGGTGGTCCGGATGGCGAAGCGTAAGGCCGATGAGCTGGAAGACTTTACAACAAAGCATGAGGACAATGCACTGGCTTACAGCAAGGAAGATGTTGAAGAGGGCAGCGCAATGCTCAAGCAGCTATTGATACAGTGGAAGGAGCAGGTCGGCAAGGGAGAGATGAGCCAGGAAGAGAAGGTCTCTAAGCTGAAGGAGCTTGTGGCTGCTGATTCGAAGCTACTGGCGAACCCGTTCTTTCAATCCGTTAAGGCTCTGTAATCAAAGGTCCGAGTGTGAGTGTGAGTGGCACGGGTAATGCTCCAGGCGAGATAGGTTTTGGGCTTGTACAATATTCGGATTCGTTGGTCGAGGCGTTGGTAGTTTGGGGGGTTTATATTTGGGCATGTAGAAGGATGGGTACACAGTAAACAAAATAACTTTGAACGGGCACGCTCCTGTGTTGTGTCAACTGTCCCCCGGCTTTAGTGTTCAGCCAGATGCTGGTTCTCTAGATATGAGTGCACGGATCAGATACGGTAACACGTCTGGCTGGGTATTGCCATGCCGAGGAGTATAAACAGCAAACTAAGCCATGGTCATCTTTGGAAGAGGCAAGCACCGCACCCCAATGCCGTGTCGCCTTCTTCCGCAATAAATACCATTACTGCAGGTTATCTTAATTCAAACCCAACGACAGCACCACAGTCACATCGTATTAGGGAAGCTCATTTTAACGTGCTTGACACAAAACAAAGAAACTCCATTTCTCTAGTAATGACATCTCTTCCCCCCGCCCCCGGAAGAGGTATATACATTTTCTCTGACGGGCGCGTGCTTCCTTCTCAACTATACATGTCCTCTTTATTGGCTGCCCTCCACGGTAGCCTTGACGGGGTCGATCTCGAATCCGTACGTCTCCTTGATGCGCTCGCGTCTCCGCTCCTCATATCCAGGAGGCTGAATGCCTATTGCGGTCATGATTAGCAGGCCGTAGAACAAAAAAAACTACTTCAAAGGGCTACCCAAGTCGGCGCGTACCTCGTCCCTCGCCAATCTCGGCAACAGTCTGCTCCACGGGTAGCCTGGTCGTCCTTCTGATCCTCTCCTTGCGCTCGAACTCGTCAGACTCCTTTTTGAAGGAGTCAATGCGGCCACCGAGGAAGTACAGTGCGCCTTGGATGGCGCCCACGGCACTGCCTAGACCCACGACGACGGGCATTCGCCGAGCTGTATTGTTTTCAACCCACGGCATGGTTAGATGACTTGTCATTCGCGGTGTGCGTGTCTATTGTAGATGTTGCGACGTACAGGGAAGGCCCAAGACACCACCGCACATGAAACCGCCAAAGGCGGCGGACCATGCGTCCTCCTTTTCGCGCAGGTTCATCATGGTTCTGGAGAAGAAAGCGTATGCGGCGGGGCCGGCAGCTGCAACACACACGAAAAACCAACCCGTTAGTCTCGCGAATTTTGAGAGCTCGCCGCATTGCCAGTTGCCAATTGCAGTGACAGGCTGGCGGGTCAGCGGGGGCATTTCATACCGCAGATTCCGATAATGGGGGCGCCGCGGGTAAATACTCCCAGGGCGCCGACGTTGCGCTTCGACATGGCGTTGCGAATGGCGGCGAGGAAGAAGCCGCCTCCCAGACCGACCACGGCGGTCTTGGCCGTCTCGTCGAGGACATCGTGAGGAGCGTAGGGCTTGTCAGACTCCAGCGGAGCCTGGTGGCTCGGGCTCGATTGGTGATCCATGGCGCCGGGCTGCGATGGTTTGATGAGGAGCTGTTTGAAAGCTGGTTGTACGCAGGCTGGTCAAGACGGGATCTGGGGTGAAGACGATGGCTTCACGTGATTTGTGAGCAATTCAACGATGCAGATTGGCTGGGTCGCAGCTTGGGTGCCAGAGTCTCCGCTTTTAGCTGGGATGGTTAGGACTGGTCAAGCTGAGGCTCACTAACAATTTACTCTTACCGGACTCTTCCTGTGCTCACACGACAAGTGAGTGAGTGAGTGAGTGAGTGAGCTCAGCACGCGATTGGGCTCAACACAGGCAAAATTCATATTTTGAGCCCGGCTTTTCTTGTCAGCCGCCATATGACTTTTCTTGTTACAGGCCCGTCGTTCATTTCGATCCTGTTAATCAATCCCGGAGCAAGCTTCTGCATGAAGCAGCAAAATTTTTCTTTTGGGCCATTCCATATAAGTCACAACTCATCGACGAGTGAACACCCCTTAAAAGTCCACCATTAAACATTCGCATAACCCAGAAACTACATCCAGCAGAAACCCGTAAGTTCACCAGATATTAACAGAGGCATTCTACCAAAAGAAGAAGAAAAAAAAGAGACATCAATGGAGATTGCCGAAGCCAGTACTACCAGCGGCCAGACGGCGCAAGCCGACCAGCAACAACCCCAAGAAACCACCACCACCAAAACCACCACACCAGCAGCAGACCAAACAACCACAGCCGGAGCAGAAAATGCAGAGCCAGCGGCGCCCATGTCCAAAAACGCGCTCAAGCGCCTCCGCCGCGCGCAAGAGTGGGAGGACGGGCGGGAGGACCGCAAGCGACGCCGGCGAGAGAAGCGCGTGGCCGGCAAGGCCCGGCGCCGCGAGGAGCGAGCAGAGCTGCTGGCCCAGGGAGCCGACCCTGCCGTGCTGTTTGCCAAGCGCGCGCCGGCGCGGCTCGTCCCCGTCTCGCTCATCCTGGACTGCGACTTCGAGGCCTACATGACGGACAAGGAGCGCGTCTCGCTGTCGAGCCAGGTGACGCGGTGCTACTCGGAGAACCGCAACTTCAAGTACAAGGCGCACCTCTGGATCAGCGGGTGGCGGGGCAAGCTGAGGGAGCGCTTCGAGACGGCCATGGAGAGCCAGCACGCCCACTGGAAGGGCGTCAGCCTGGAGGAGGGCGACTTCTTGGCCGCGGCGGCGCGGGCGCGGGAGGGCATGAGGTCCGCCGAGGGCGGCGAGATGGCAGACTCCCTGCAGAGGAGTGCCGACGCGGCGGCGGCCAACAGGTGGGAAAGGGACGAGAGGGAGCCGTTCCCCCTGCCCGGGCCGGTGCCCGAGCTCGACGCCGAGCACGCCGACGTGGTCTATCTGACGTCCGAGTCGCCCTACACGCTGGAGAGGCTGGAGCCGAACACGAGCTATGTCATCGGCGGGCTGGTGGACAAGAACCGCGAAAAGGGGCTGTGTTACAGACGAGCCGTGGAAAGGGGCATCCGCACGGCGAGGCTGCCGATAGGGCAGTACATGAAGCTGCGGACGCGGCAGATTCTCGCCACGAACCACGTCGTGGAGATTATGTTGCGGTGGCTCGAGTGCGAGGACTGGGCCGAGGCGTTTATGCGTGTTATTCCGAAAAGAAAGGGCTTTGAGATGATTGCAGACGGGGATGAGGATAAGACGGGCAATGGCGGTGAAGACGGGGATCAAGGAGATCAGGGGGAGGACGGAGAGGAGAACAAAGAGGGTGGAGAGAAGAACGGAGAGGAGGACAAAGAGGACGGGAAAAAGAGCGGAGAGGATAAAGAGAAGAACGGAGAGGACGGAGAGAAGGATAAAGAGGATGAAGAGGATGAAGAGAAAAACAAAGAGGACGGGAAGAAGAATAAAGAGGACGGAGAGCAGAACGGAGAGGACGAGACCAAGGGCAGCAATAGTCAAGACCCAAAGTAGAGCTGGGAACGACACAAAAAGGTCCAGGTATATACGTGTTATTTATTAGACTCGTGGTTACGCCAGCCAATTTTCAGACATGTTCATTATAGTTATATCCCAAAACAAAAGGCCAATGGATAAATACCTTTACTGAAATGCATCACGCATGACCCTCGTGGAAGGCTTCATTTCATGTCCGACAACGCATGCTTCATCTATTTGTTCAACGTTAGAAATCCATCAAGTCCTCCCGCTCCCTCTTTGTCCGCACATCTCTTTCGTCCTTCATGATTCCGTTGACAAATGTCCGGAAATATTCGACATACGGTTTGAGGCTCGTCTTTTCCCAATCCGAGATACCTTTGCCATTGTCGTCCTGGCTTGCGGCGCCGTCGTCTCCTTTCCAAGAATCAATCTCCCCTAGAAGTTCCTGGACGGTAGGAACTGCCAAGGGGTCGAAATCCTCGAGTTCTCTCGTGTCAATTGGCACACAGACACGGCCGGTGCCGGGATGCACTACGAAGGGACTCTTGAGCAAATGGTTGAGTTTCTTGCTAACCTCGATATCGAGTCGTGGGTAGGTATATTCAAGGACAATGTCTTGCTTGGCTTCAAGGAGCGCCCGCGCATCCAGGTTCTTGCTAGCGCCAGTCTTGGCCAGAGCGTCAATGTCTGCCCATTTGGATACTGAAGCTCTTCCAGGGGCGGCATCCCATTTACGACGTAGGGATTCGTTCAGGTTGCGATCGGGAAGTAACTGCAAGAGTTTCTCATATCGTTCCTCCGTGCCCCAGGGGTCTTGTACTTCCAGAACGTCTTCCTGGAAGTGGGTCTTGAGAATCTCAAGACTTCGACTACGGCCTTTGTTAGTATTCGCCCAACAACAACAACCCCGTCACGGAGGTGCCAAGCTTCAAAGTGCAAACTTACGCCAAGTGAGGGTGCAATGGCCTCCGGACGTTGACCTTCTTGCCACTTTGCGCTCCTCCCTTGACAACCTCAAGATAGCCGGCAATGGCCTTCCTCTTCTGATCGTCTAGACTGCGAACTTTCTTATCGCATACCCAAGCGTGGGCACCACGTCGACCCGAGTACACCCACATGATGTGCTTGAAGCCAAAGTCTTCACGCAGCGCAGCATCGACAACCTTGATAGCCATGGTCATGAACTTCCAGCACTTGTTACAAATGTTGGCCTTGTCGCAGCAGGTTCGGATATCGTCATAGTCCGTCAAATCGATATCGAAGCAGAGTTCCTTGGCGAGTGGTTTGAAAGCAGATGAGTTGCGGAGCATCTTGCGGTCTCGCGGATTTGTAGAGTACACGGGGCCGATTTCGAAACGTGAGGGCATGAGACGGAGGACGTCTTTGCGGAGGCTTCAAGAAGAATCATGTTAGTACCGCAACAGGCAAGCAGAGAAGGGCGGGGTGTTGATGCCAAAGAGCGGTGCTGTACGCACAGGTCAGCTGTTGCAAACGACTGATATCGCAGGTACGCGTCATTTTGGAGAGTGAAGGCGAATTCTCGATTTCCAAAGTCGTTGGTGGGAGTTGGGCTATGATTCAGCCACTGGAAGAGCTGGCGCCACGGAAACAGACGTTGGTAGAAA